TACATATGTATGTATGTTTTAGATAATATTGAGTTTTACTCCGAATTTAGCAACTTTATCATAAAACTAAACTATTTCAGTGAGCAGAGAACGATGTAAATACATACATACATAGGTATGTATGTAGGTTATAAATGGATTAATGTATTATTTCAATAGGAATCAACTACATCATACATAAATGTACATATGTATGTACATATGTAAATATATGTACGTATGTATTTATATTCTTTATTGATATGTTTGTACATACATATGTATGTATCTAAAAATGCATATGTAGGCGCAGGAGCCGTAGCAGTTGTCTAAGCATTAAAGATCAGTTTTAATTTATGTATGTATGTACATACATATGTATGTATGTATGTATGTATGTATGTTGTATCATGCAATCAACGACTTCAGATGGGAGATGTGTAGGGACTTAAATGCTGATGCAAAACCTAAAAAATAATAAAAAAAATAGGTACATATATATGTATGTACATACACTCCTACATTAAGCAATACACACGCACATACACAGGCACACACACTCACACATGCTTGCATATCTGGTTTTATGTCGTTTCCGAGAACAAACGAAGTTCCCTCGTTAAGACGAATATGTTCGAGTGTGTGAGTGTGAACGTGATTGTGAATGTTTTCTGTTCTCAACAGTGCTGTCAAGAGGAAGCGGAAAAATTTATAGGACAAGAAAAATATATGTACATATATAGGTATGTACACATATGTATATTATAAACGAACTATGCCATATATAAATGCCTATGCTTATTATAAATGGTTTGATTATTATATATTATTTGCCTATACACAACAAACATTTAATCCAAACATGAAAAAAATATTGTTCGGCTGTTAAAATGGATGCAAAGAATAGGTCAATCTCGGAAAAGGCTATATTTTTGCAGATTCACAGTCACAGATTATGTTAACGGAAAAATGCTAAATGTGCAGCACTAACTTAAAATGAATTGCAGTCAGGCAGGCAGGCAGGCCAGAGGTATGCTGGCATTGGCAGATACATGCAGGCAGGCAGGCTGAACTTAGCTCGTAGCTGCGCTCGCTTCTCTCGTGTGCTTCATAGAGAAAAAAGATCTTGGAATGACTTGAATAAGACGTTAAATTACAAAAGGAAAACATATAATGAGAACGTAGGAGAACGTTGGGCGCACAGCAAGCGAATTTTGAGATTTCGTTCCAGTCCCGCTGTTTTATCTGCCTTCCCTCGCTCTATTCCCGTTTCTCAACAGAAATTTGGGTCCGAAGTTTTTTCAGATTCTCGTTGCTTGCAACTTAAGGAAATATACATGCATAGATGTATGTATGTATGTACATATGTATGTACAAATATATTGTGCTGCGCCGCAGGTTACTGAAGAGTGGAAAGGTTTGCCAACTACTCCCTGGCTACCTATGCTTTGACAAATGTTTACTGCTCTTTTCAGGTAAATTGACTATAGCTCCGTATCCCCTAAACAAGGAAAATATGATCTGTTCATTTTCTAGACATTATAGGTACATACAGTTTGACACGGAAGTGTTTTCACATGAAAAAAAAAAAAAAATGTTTTTGTTCGTTGGCATTAAAAAACAACAATTATATTATGTTTTTCAAATTGTTGTCTTACAAAAATAATTTTAAACAAATTAAAACACCATTAACAAAAAAAATATATATTCAAATTCAACTGACACGAAAGTGTTTGCATAAAAATAAATTGTTCGAAATAAGGCAATATAATTAATATTAAGTATCAAAATTAGTATTCAGTATGACCCCCATTGGCTTCAATGACCGTAATGGCTGCCTTTTTTTTGAGATCAGCCCACAGATTCTATATGGGATTAAGGTCGGAACTTCGTGCAGGAGTATCCAACACCATTGCAAAATTGTAGAGAAGCCAGCACCTGACTATGTTAGCTTTTCGTTTGCGGTCATTATTTTGGTAAAACCTAAATGTTGGTTTATCATCCCTAAAAAATCCAAGCTTGCGGGCACTGGACACTGCGTGCGTAAAATCTCCAAATACTGATTGGCATCCATAGTACTTTCGATAACACCTTTACTGGAAGTACACCCCCTGACCATCACTGATGGTTTCCCAAACTTAATAATAGGAATTATATTTTTCTGTTCAACGGCTTTCGCAAAACACGGCTGGGTTCACCGTTGTTGTACAACATCATCTTAGTCTCGTCGCAAAATATGGCTTCATCCCAGTATAAAAAACACATTGTAATTTAAAAAAATTTCGAATATCACATTTAGTAGTTGTTTATTAATACCAAAAACATAATTTTTTCCCGTGTGAAAACACTTTCGTGTCAAACTGTATATATTTCTTAGTTTCCAAATTAACGCAAATGTACCTGACACCCATTTCAAAAGAGAGAGACGGTTCCATATACATACATACATGTGTATATGTAAATACATATATACATTTGTATGTACATATGTATAGATATATCAGTCTTATTTTTTTATCTATGAGATAACTGTCTAATTAGTTTTGACGTGATTTCCAAGTTAAAACATCATAGATGATGAAATAAAATACAATAATATACTAAATATATACATACATATGTATATGTATGTCCTAAAAATACTTTTAAACTGTTTGAAAGTATAAAAATGTTGAGTTTAAAATAAATATTAAAATATTTATATAAATAAGTAGGCTTAGATAAAACAAGTCACAGCTCTACTGTATACTTACTATACACAATCTTATACGTTATTATGTCGAGACTGCTCGACTACGAGATCCCCTGAACCCACACATTTCACACACATCCATTTTCAATGGGTTCAGGGTATATATACATAGATACATTTTATACAATTTCGTTTTTTGTTAAAATTTATATATCCTCTTTATCCACTCCTCACCCTCATATTTATAAAGGCGTATTTCAATTACTAGAGATTTGTGCTCCGGAATATACATTATGATTACGTTCTGAAAGTTTCATCAAGTTAGTTCGTCTAAAATTAAATTATTCAACAAATAAATTCTCATCATATTATCAACAATGCAGCGCAGCCCAAGCGCAGTCGCTGCTTACTGCGCAGTTCATGTTCTAATCATAATCTGAAAGAAGATAATCCGTCGACAAGAAAAGTTAGTCATATTAAGCTTTGCAGCCAATGGAGTGTTTATGCGTGCGTGCGTATGCTATGTATGTATGTGTGTGTGTGCGTGTGTGTGTGTGTGTGTGTGTGTGTGTGTGTGTGTGTGTGTGTGTGTGTGTGTGCGTGTTAATATTTCTTTCCGTCATACATGTGTATATATTTATGTACATACATATATGTATTCATGTACATATGTATATATTTAAGTACTGTATTCGGTGGCAACAGTGTGTAAATGTTGACAATCTCAAATAAATACATATGCACTATTTGCTTTGTGACGAAGCAAATATGTACATACATACATACATATGTATACAGTATACACCAATGTAAATTTACAATAGCATCAAGTGTCGATGATGTTTTTAGTATATCGCTAATTTGTGTAAGATTCGAATGCTTGAGCTGTGGAAGCAATTTGGTATGTAATCTTTCTAAATGACAGACAATGTACATATTATCTACATCTATTGTTATTTCCACCTACCTATGTACATTTCTATATACATACATACATATACATATGTATGTATTGAACTGGAATTGCCTAAAGTCCGCTTAAAATTAAAAACAAAGCAAGCATCATTACACAAATGACGTAAAGTGAGCATTCAAAGCCCGAATTCGGGCGGGTAATTTCTTTATAAAAAGAACATTTTGTTGCATTAATTGACCACATATACACACACGTGCATGTACACAAATAACCATCGGCTACGACTTCAATACGATCAGGAGTGAAGGAGCAAATGAGAGGGTCGATTTTCAAATGAGTGTGAAAGCAAGATGTCAGTAATGAATGAGCTAAAACGAGATAGTGATAGAGAAGGAGGGAGGCCCAGCATTGAAGAGAGCGCAGTGCAGACACAATGTGGGTGCGCCTAAAAGATGGTCTGTGCACGTCTTCTGCATAACAAGTAGCAAGTTGTTAAGTCGGGCTCGGCGATGTCGAGATATACATACATACATATGTACATGCATGTGTATGTGTATATAGGCTTGTAAGTATATGTGTGTTCATATTGTACCTGCTATAGTAAGGTTTGAAAATCAGGCAGACAACAGCTTAATCTTTGTCAGTGATGGCATCATTTAGTAATGAAGGTAATGAGAATATAAATATACATATATACTAGTATAATTATTGGAATATTATGTAGGTATATACATATATTGATTTAAATCGAAATTCATTCGTGAGCCACGTGCATATTAACTCACTAGTTCACTAGGTACAGATCGTGAAGTAAACACGCTGCTATTGCAGCTATGAACAATTTGTATTATTTTTTAATTTAGATTTATAGTTGTCCTTTTATCGGCAGTTAAACGTACCGCTAATTGTTCAAGAAAGTGTGAACAACGTGCTTCGTGCATACGATCATCGAACAAACAACTGCGATCGTTCGTTCAAAGATAGCTAAAAAAGTTCTTTTTTAATGCCCAGTTCTAAGGAACATATGCCAACACTGATATTGGACAGTCCATCCAGCGCAAGAGTGAGTGCAAAATTCGACATGGCCATCTTCAAACTGCCCGCCTATTCTCAACTGAGGGCTGTGAGCAAACAGAGGAAGACGTAGAGCAGATCGTGACCTGTGGCTCTATACACTTGTGTCTCTATGGCGTCGTCTCTCTCTCTGTCTCTCTTCTCTCTGTTTGTCTCTCTCTCTCTCTATCTATCTCTCTCTCTCTCTCTCGCTCACTCTCTATCTATCTGTCTGTGTGCATTTGTGTGTGTATCTCTGTCTCAATCTGTAGCCGTAAGTATGTTGTTTTTAGCATGTAAGTGTGAGTGAGCAGCGTGCGTTGCTCCAGCTAAGGCAAGCGAGGCATTGCAAGAGCTGTAACCGCTCAGTCCGCTCGGAATAAACACGGCAGTAAGACGCCGTGTCGTGTACACGCCCGTTATTGACTTTGTCACACTTAATTTATGTTTGCTGCCTGGAAAGTTAGTACAAATTAAGTGGTTCATTTATGCCCGTGGGCAATACTTAGTGCGTGCGTTAGTGTATGTGTTAATATGTGCATGTGGCTGATGCATAAGAAAACAAAACAAAATAAAATATTGATGGTATGCGAAATACTCCATTAAGAGGAGCATATACTCCATTAAGACCTGCATACATTCGCATATATACACATATTTACATATAAGTTTATCTGTACATATGTACATATATGGATTCACTGCCATATGCCATTATATGAGCCTCATCCTCATTCGAAAACGTAGACAAGAGAAACAAAAATGCTAAAAATAATTAAATTCTTATGAAGTTGCTACCAGTTGTCAATTGTATTTTCTACAGTCGTCCATCTCTCTTTTTCTCTCTCTATCTCTCTCTCTCTCTCTCTCTCTCTCTCTCGTTCTGAGTGTGTGTACTAAAATCCATGTTTAGTGTGCACATGCGCACCTTTGTACCTACATTCAAATGTCGCGTGTCTACGTGTGTATGTGTGTGTATATTATGCATCCATCCACATGTACGTAGCCCGCAAGTGATCGTGAATTTTTTAAAGTTTTTGGCGTAATGCCGTCGGCAATTGTGAACATCTATAAGAAGAAATGCCGTAAATAAGAGCACCTATAAGTGTTTCAAAGATCTAATCTCAAGCCCGAATCGTCCACCACATACATTTAAAATGGACGCGTATACCTTACCAACATACTTTCCCTTGGCGTAAGTATTTCGATAAATTTAAAAATCCTTTTTTAAAATATGTATATATCTTATTCAAGTTGCTTTTTCCATATGCATACATACTACATATGTATGTACATGGACAATATAACTATCAAAATGAATGGACTTTGTGAATTTTTACATAAAAGTTAAGCTCTCCCACACTAGTGATTGGGGACGCTGTGGTGGGTTTTTGTGAAAATAAACAACTTTGTGTTCAATGAAATAATATATTTTATATAATTTAGTAACAAAA